GCCTGGGGGAGGGGAGGGTTTGGGGAGGGGAGAGACCTCAGAGGGGTGTAGGTTTACAGTTGTGGTCACCGCACCTCAAAAAGGATATTATTGCATTGGAAAAAGTGCAGAAAAGGGCAACTAGGATGATAAAAGGGTTGGAACACTTTTCCCTATGAGGAAAGGTTAAAGCGCTTAGGGCTCTTTAGCTTGGAGAAACGACAGCTGAGGGGTGACATGATCGAGGTTTATAAGATTATGCATGGGAAAGAGCAGGTAGAGAAAGAGGTACTTTTCTCCCTTTCTCACAATACAAGAACTCGTGGGCACTCAGTGAAATTGCTGAGTGGTCGGGTTAGAACAGATAAAAGGAAGTACTTCTTCACCCAAAGAGTGATTAACACATGGAATTCACTGCCACAGGAGGTGGTGGCAGCTACAAGCATGGACGGCTTCAAAAGGGAATTAGATAAGCATATGGAGCAGAAGTCCATCAGTGGCTATTAGCCACAAGGTATAGATAGGGGCTCTGGGGCAAGTGATGCTCTGTCTTCTTGGTGCTTGGGGGGGTCAACAGTGGGAGGGCTCCTAGTGTCCTGGCCCCACTGATGGACCTCCTGATGGCACCTGGTATTTTTGGCCACTGTGTGACACAGAGCGTTGGGCTGGATGGGCCATTGGCCTGATCCAACATTGGCGTCTCTTATGTTCTTATGTAGTGCCATAGAGTCCATCCTCCACAGCAGCCATTTTCTCCCGGGGGAACTGATTCAGTAGTCTGGAGATCATTTGTAATTCTGGGATACCTCCAGACCCCGCGTAGAGTTTGGCGACCTTGTTGCAAATGGGGGTGTCTCATAGGCAAGATGAGAGTGTTTCCCCGAAATAGAGAACACACTCCTGAGCTTGCCAAAAATAAAGGGGACACTCTACTCATTTGTCAAACTCATTTGTTGCGAGGGCCGGATCTGACATAAATGTCACTTTGTCAGGCTGGGCCATGTGTACCATAAAATGTAATGCCAGGTACCGGAGATGGAAACTTTAGAAAGGACACCAGGAAAGCCAATTAACAATATTATTTTTTATTCAAAATACAAACAAAAAGCAATTGATTCCTAGTAGTGAAAGCAATTGATTTACTGGGGAAGCCACAAAGCCCACTATGGCCCCGGTCGCACAGAGAATTTGCTGCGCGAAAGGCATGAATGCAAGACTGGGGTTTTCCCCCAAGGGATACCATAAAAACGGAGTACCTTATATTTCCATACATATGAGTTGCTTGAGGGCCGGGTAAGAGCCCTCGACGGGCTGGTTCCGGCCCCCGGGCCTTATGTTTGACACCCCTGCTCTACAGCTTCTGCCAATGTCTTCCAGAGCTAGAAGACTAACACAGACTCTCTGGCCTCGAGTGGCAGGGACTAGAATGGGCAAATCTTGTTGGGCACACACTGTCTGGGGGCACCACTGGGAAGGAAACGGGGTCCTTCTCGGGCACTGATGCCCCCAGACCTTGCACAACCTGTCCTTACTCTGCTTTCTTTGCCACTGGCGGGAACTGGGAAGAGAAAAGCGTTTGAGACTACTAGAGGGGATGGGATGAAAAGGGAAGTCTTGGGGGAACAGAGCAGGGGAGAGATGAACGAAGACAGGTGGGAGGAAAGTTACTTTATTTTATGTTTTTTAGTCCCTTTGTGTCATTTTCAGTAGTGAGACTTTGTACTGTAACCTTTTTTTGCATCTCCCCCCTCCCCCCCTTCATTACGAAAACCAGGATTAATTGTGTGTGAAGGACAGCAGTGAAGACCTGACACTGCAGGTTTTTCCCATTCATCAGGAACAATGAAAAATAATGCACTTCTGAGGCTTTGTGGTTGGTGTTCTAACTCTCTAGGAATGCTCCGTCTCACCAAGTAGCTTTCCTCCCCTGCCTAGGATAGTTTGCAGTGTCAACATTTTTTTTAATCCAGGGGAGGTGAATTCATAGTAATACCTTTAATCCTTGAGTATGAAAAAGTCCTAGGGTGGAAAAAAACAACCCAGACATTTTCCAGACCAATGTAACTTTTGACACCCCCTCCCCACCAAGCTAAGTATGGCCTACAGTTTACCAGACATGTTTGTGTGGGGGTTCAGGGTGGTCATGTTTGGCATGCAATGGGGTACCAACTTGTACTCCCCTCATCCCTAGGATTTCCAGCTCTGGGTAGAGAAATTCCTGATGACTATGGACGGCGGGGCAGGGAGGGAAGGAACGTCAGTGGGGTACACGGCCATAGAGTCCAGTCCACCCTCCAAAGCAGCCATTTCCCCCAGGAGAACTGATCTTTGTAGTTTAGAGATCAGTTGTAATTCTGGAAGATCTCTGGGCCCTACCTGGAGGCTGGCAACTGCATGCCACCCCATAGTTTTTCTCTTTCTGTCTTCTAGTACACTTGACCCTCTCTTCCTCCAAGAAGGTCAGGGCAGCATAACAACGGAAGAGAAGCCATGTTGGATCAGACCAATGGCCCATCCTGTCCAACACTCTGTGTCACATAGTGGCCAAAACCCAGGTGCCATTTGGAGGTCCACCAGGAGGGTCAGAACTCCAGAAGCCCTCCCACTGTTGCCCCCCAAACACCAAGAATACAGAGCATCACTGCCCCAGATTGACACCCCCCCCATTTTGTCCTCACAACAAACTTGTGAGGTAGAAGAAGAAAAGTAGGTTTTTACATACTGCTTTTCTCTACCCTAAGGAATCTCAAAGTGGCTTATGATTGCCTTTCCCTTCCCCTCCCCACAATGGGCAGGTGTGGGCTAAGAGAGTCCTGAGAGAACTGGGACTGGCCGAAGGTCACCCAGCTGAGGGCTTTTAAAAAATCAAACTCTGAGGAAATGTTAGTTGACTGTTCTGTCAGAAGGAAAGAAATTGTTAGAGACCATGGATTTTATTCCACATCCTTCAGCTAGTTGAGGAAACCGCAGCATTTTTTAAAAAATCCCATTTGTTCCAAGTTTGCTGAGTAACATCAGCAAGGGAAAATTCAGTTAAAGCAGCGTTGAACAACAAAGTTAGCAATACGCTGAATGTATAGTCCAGCTATGCAGCCTAGTGGGTATTTCCCCTGCATCGTTTGGGGTTGCCAACCTCCAGATGGAGCCTGGATACCTCCTGTTCATACAACTAATCTCCAGGCAACAAACATCCAGTTCCCCTGGAGGCAATGGCTGCTTTGGAGGGTGGACTCTGTGGTATGATACCCTGCTGACGTCCCCTCCCCAAGCCCCGCCCCCAAAATATCAAGTTATTTCCTGACACAGAGCTGGCGACCCTAATAGGGGTTAATATCGACATAATGTCTTCGTGTGAGAATTCCCATGGGGAAGTCCATGCAACAAACTCCATGTGAGGGAGGGAAAGCGGTGTGCCCTCGGGGGAACTGGTCAGGTGGAAGGGGCAGAAGGTCCCCGTGACTCAGTGAGTTTTCTCAGCCGCCTTGAGCCTGCTCACCAAGAATGGCGGGACAAAAATATTGGAATGTTTAAAAATAAAACAACAGTTGTGGTCGTTAACTGCTTTTTTGGCGCAAAGAAAAGACATTGCCCCTTAGAAAGGCAGTTAGGGGCTGAATCACAGCAGATTTCTATTAATATTGACTTCCCCCGTTGGTTTGGCCATTAGGGCTGCCGTCTCCGGGCTGGGAATTTCCTGGAGATTTCGGGGGCGGAGTCTGGGGAGGAGGAGAAGAAGAAGAGGTTGGATTTATCCCCCGCCCTTCACTACCCGAAGGAGTCTCAGAGCGGTTTACAAACTCCTTTCCCTTCCCCTCCCCACAACAGACACCCTGTGAAGTAGGTGGGGATGAGAGAGCTCTGACAGAAACTGCTCCTGAGAGAACAGCTCTGAAAGAACTTGTGACTGACCCAAGGTCAGCCAGCTGGCTGCATGTGGAGGAGTGGGGAGTCAAACCTGGTTCTCCCAGATTAGAGTCTGCGCTCCTAACCACTACACCAAACTGGAGGGCAGGGTTTGGGGAGGGGAAGGACCTCAGTGGGGCATAACTCCATAGAGCCCCCCCCCTCCAAAGCAGCCATTTTCTCCAGGGGGGCATCTCTTTGCTCTGGAGATCATTTATAATTCTACATCTTCTTGTAAGCAGCCCTGCAGTTCTGACTGAATTGGGAGCGGGAGGATATGAAACTCAGGTTTGTGAAAAAGACAAAAAACATACCCAGATGTAATTTATCTACTTATTGAATCATTCTTCTGTCCTTTGGTGCCCAGCGTGAGCCTGAATGCACAAACAATCCATGTGCAGTATTCATTTCATTTTTCTTTATACGTGTGTTGAATAATTCTCCATGTTACGTCCAACGCACATAGAGCTGAACGTGTGATTTTAACCCCACCTTTATCCAGGTCCTTGTCCCCAGTTTTCTTTGTAAAGTTAACATGTGTTGGCTCTTTTTTTTTTTCCTGTGGGAAGGCGCCGGAACAGAGTTCTGGAACCTCTTCAACAAGATTCTTTTAAAAAATGTTTAGAAGTTCATGAGTTTTCTGTATACAGATTGAAAACTTCATTTCCCTCTTGAGAGTTCCAGCACCTGTTTTTTTTTTTAAGCCCTTCAAACAGCTGTATGCACATACATACAGGATGTATTTGCATTTTAGGGTTGCCAGGGCCTCCTTGGCCAGTAGTGGAGGGTGGAGGTAGGGTCGCCAGATCCAGGTCAGGAGACTCCTGGAGATTTGGGGCTGGAACCTGGGGAGGACAGGGTGCTTAGTGGGGTTCAATGCCATAGATTCCACCCTCCAAAGCGTCCATTGTCTCCAGGGGAACTGATCTACGTAGTTTGGGGATGTGTTGCAATTCTGGGGGAACCCCAGGTCCCACCTGGAGGCTGGCATCCCTGTTGCATTTGCTGTAGCACGCAGATAGGACCCAGGTCTTAGTATGCTTCAGCGGACCCGACCTTCTGTGCTGCAAATTCCAATACAAGGTCTATTTTTGTTTCCCCTTTAATCGTTTCAACAGAGAGATTTCGAGACATGCTGTTTCTGCATTCAAGTTGGGATGCTGAGATTTTGCCCGTCTTCCAACAGAGGCGTTATCCCAAGTAAGTAAACACCATCTCCTGCTTGGGAAGAATATTTTTTGTTTTGTTTTGAAAAACGCTACTGTTTCCATGGTGAAAACGAAAGGAGAATCTCCATTTACAGAAGCAGGGGCAAGTCTCCCAGGTCAGCCTCGGGCGGCACCTCACTTTGCAAGATGCCCTGGGTGTGCTCAGGCGAATCCCCCCCCCCTTCAGAGATTCAGTCTCATGGTGACAGATTCATCTGGATTTTTTTAAAAAACAAACAAACCCAAGGCATCCAAGAGAAACAGACGGGCTTCATGGCCTGCCGTGATGGGCCTGGTGTTCAAATAAGCGGAGCAAAAAGCACCCTTTTGTGACAAACAAGGTGCGAAATGAGTTTTCTAATTACTGTTGGCTTCTTGTTAGAAGAAAGGAAGATAGGAACAGCATAGGAATGGGAGATAAGCATACAATTTTAGTTGGGAAGCTTCCATCGGGGGAGGGGCACACGGTTTCATGTTATTTACTAGCGAAATTAACCAGAGGTGTGTTTGTGTGTGTGTGTGTGTGTGTGTGTGTGTGTGTGTGTGTTGGAAGGCTCTGCGCACTGCAGAGACTCTCAAGGCAGTGGTGCATTGCGTCTTTGTGCCGGATCCTTGTCAGTGAGGGCCCAGTGCTGCTCACGGCACTGCAACAGTGTTCCCAAGTTCACCGCTTTATTTTTGCCCATCAGAGTGAGAGGCAACTGTTCACTTATATAAGATGAAATACATAAGATTATGCAAGATGAAATATATTCCTTTGGTCTATGTATCGACTTCTCCTTTGAAAAGCAACAACCAAACCCTGCTGTTCCTAAGTCCCCCAAAATGCTAGACCTCGAGGCCATTCAATGAAGTGGATAGACAGAACAGACAGAAGGAAATACTCCTTTACGCAGAGAGTGATTGAAATGTGGAATTCACTGCCAGAGGATGTCGTGATGGCCACAGGAATAAAAAGCTTTAGAAGGGAATTAGATAGATTCATGGAGGGTAGGTCTGTCAATGGCTACCTGCCATGGTGACTAAGGGGAACCTCCACATTCAGAGGCAGTCAACCCCTGAATCCCAGTACCAGGAGGCAACATCAGGGGAATGCCCCGGCTAATGATGCAGCCTCCTGGCACTGGGATTCAGAAGTTAACTGCCTCTGAACGTGGAGAATGAACTGAGAGATCCCCGGGGCTTGTATCTCTACCATGGACTCAGTAGAGGGCCTGAGGCAAGTCACTCTCAGACTTCCTTTTACAAAAGGGGGATAAAATACTGGCCTACCTTGCTGGGATGTTGTAAGAACTACAAGGTAATGTATGTTAAGTACTTTGGACTCTGAAGGTAAAAGGTAAAGGTTCCCTTGCTCGATAGCCAGTCGAATCCGACTCTAGGGTCATCTCCGTTTCAAAGCCGAAGAGCCAGCGCTGTCCGAAGACGTTTTCGTGACCATGTGGCCAGCATGACTAAATACCAAGGCGCACGGAATGCTGTTACCTTCCCACCGAAGTGGTACCTATTTATCTACTTGCAATTTCTTGCTTTCGAACTGCTAGGTTGGCAGGAGCTGGAACTAGAGACGGGTGCTCACTCCGTCATGTGGCACCCTGGGTCTTGAACTGCTGAACTACTGACCTTCCACAGCCTGCAGTTCAGCATCTTAACCAGTTGAGCCACCGCAGCTCCCTTGGACTCTGAAAGTGCTCTATAGATTCTAACGGTAACAGTGATCAGCTTTTCCGCAGCATTTTAGGCCATGTAAATTTAGAATCCTCTTTGCGTGCCTTCTCACAATGGCCCATCTTCCGACTTTGCTGTTTAAATACTTCTTTCTTAATCTGGGAGTTAATTAAATTGCCTGGCGGAGGGTGAAGCTAAAAAGGGAGAGAAAGCTAGGATAAGGAAGGTGCTTTTTTTGCCAACTACTAGAGATGAGTCAGTTGAGTGGAAAACTGGGAGAAGATTGTTCCAGATGGCAGGAACTGAGGAAGAGAAGGTTCCCTTTGTGGAGCAAGGCCAGATTGTGTGGAGGATCCAAGCCGGGGAGGCTAGCGGTCGATGCCCAAAAGGGAGGAGGCATGGGAAAAGGGAGGGAGGCTTTGCTGGAACAGCTGGGCAGCTTCCACGGGAAGCTTCAGAAACCCAACAGGGGAGGGGGGAGCTTTCTTTTTCCACCAGTTCCCAAAACAGAGATGGAAACAGCGGCACTGTTGACTCTGAACAACTTTCTGAACTGACTTTGCAGTTCATTCGAACCCCCAAATATTGAAGGAAACAGGGCAGCCTATTTACAAAAGCAAAAATCGAGGAATGCTACCTGGAGTTAAATATACTTGTGTATGTGTTAAGTGCCGGAAAGTGACTTTGGATCTATGGTTGAATATGCATGAGTATCTATATATAATATCAGTGTATTAAATATTTAAATATATATATAGACATTATATAGAGAGCCAGTTTGGCGTAGTGGTTAGGTGCGGGAACTCTAGTCTGGGAGGACCAGGTTTGATTCCCCACTCCTCCACATGCAGCCGCTGGCGTGACCTTGGGTCAGTCACAAGTGCTTTTAAGAGCTGTTCTCTCAAGGGCAGTTCTCGAGAGAGATCTCTCAGCCCCACCTACCTCACAAGGTGTCTGTTGTGGGGAGGGGAAGGGAAAGGCGATTGTAAGCTGCTCTGAGACTCCTTTGGGTAGTGAAGGGCGGGATATAAATCCAATCTCCTCCTCCTTCGTAGAGATGTTTATAATGCCTATCCATCTAGCCATATGAATAAATTATACATATGCTTTTTAGACCTCTAACCATGTACAGTGTGGGATGGCTCAGGCGTAGAATAACTTCGTTAGTTCTCTGAAGCTAAGCAGGGTTGGCCCTGGTTAGTACTTGGAGGCGGCTTTTTCTTTTGTCTTGCATAGCACCAATAACGGTGACTGGCCCTCTTTCTAGTGTTGCTTATGTGCTCTTGATTGACTCATTTTATGATTCTAACGGTATCATTTAGATGTTCGAATGTTCTTTTGAGTTCCCCACCTTGTGGAGCCTGATTGGGTGGAAAGGTGGCATGAAAATGTTCTTAAGTAAATCAGAATAAACGAATACAGCCCCGTATTCTGGATGAGGTGGTAGTTTTCTGGAATAATCTTCTGCTTGATGTGAAATGGGACGGCAGTCTGTGCAAAGCACCTTCCCCCCAGAGTTGCCAACCTCCAGGTAAGGCCTGGAGGTCTCCCGGAATTAGAACTGATCTTCAGGCATCAGAGGTCAATTCCCCTGGAGAAGACACCTGCTTTGGAGGTTGGACACTATGACATTATATCCCATTGAGGTCCTGTTCCTCCACAACCCCTCCCTCCCCAGGCTCCACCCCCCAAAATCTCCAGGTATTTCCCAATCCAGAGCTTGCAACCCTACCTCCTCCCCCAAGACTCTTTCATCTGTTCTTTGACTCGGTTTTGTCAATGGGTTGCCCTATGTTCAGAAGGCAGCGTGTACCAAACATCCCAAAAAGTAGATCATGGTCAGATTTACAGCACTAACTCTGTTCACTCAGCGCCCCTGACACGCCAGTGCAGGCCAGCTGCTTTGTCAGTTTTGACCTGTATTCTTGGAAGCACCTTTGGAGCAATGCTCCCTTCTAAGCTGTGGAGTCTTGTGAGCAAAAATTCTGCTTTGTGAGCTACTGGCACTAAAGTTGTGAGTGAGCCATTTGGCTGCTGTGTAAAAATGGTTTGCTCTGGAGCCCTCCTTCCTGAGCGAAGACACAAATGTGTGAGCCAGAGGCTAAAAAACTGTGAGCTAGCTCACACTAACTCGGCTTAGGGGGAACACTGCTTTGGCGATGCTGTTTTAGTTTATTTGTTTCCAGGGCTTTTTTTGTAGAAAAAGCCCAGCAGGAACTCATTAGCATAATTGGCCACACCCAACAGCAGAAACTCATTAGCATATTAGGCCATACCCCAGACGGCACAGGTTATTAGCATAAGAGGCCACACCCCCATGTTATCAGAAGTGTGCTCATCCAGCCACACCCACCTTTTGCTTCTTATTCTGTTTACCTTGTTTGTTGTCAAAACCCAGGGCTTTTTTTGGAGCAGGCACTCCTTTGCATGTTAGGCCACACACCCCTAATGTAGCCAATCCGAATGAGTTTCTGCTGTTGGGTGTGGCCTGTTATGTTAATGAGTTCCTGCTGGGCGTGGCCAACTCAGGAGCCAGCCGGAACTCTGTTCCTGTGCGTTCCTGCCCCAAAATAGCCCTGTTTGTTTCTAAATAGGCTAAAGCAATGAGTTCTTCCCTGTAGGCCTGGGGTGCCCTAGCCTGGAGGGCTCAGGCTCATCTGAACTCATTTGATCTCAGAAGCTAAGCAGGGTTGGCCTTGGTTAGTACTTGGATGGGAGACCACCAGGGAGGTCCTGGTCGCTTTCGCAGAGGAAATGGCAAACCGCTCCTGTTAGTCTCTTGCCTTGAAAACCCTATGAGGTCACCATGTCAGCTGTGACTTGTTGGCACTTTACACACAAAGTAGCCTGTTGGAGGGGGGGTTTGACAACCTTTTAGAGAAAACCCTTCCCTCTAATGAAGATTTATTTATTTATTTGATTTACCCCCCGCCCTCCCCGCCAGGGCAGGCTCAGGGCGGCTTACATAACATTCGACAAATAAAACAACGATAAATACAGCCATAAAAACAAGACTTAACGTGCTAGTTATCAGCCTATACAGCGATGGCGAGGTAGTAATAGCAGCAGACATACTAAAAAAAAATACAGTCAGCAGTTGTTATTAAAGTTTGGCGAAGGGCAGTGTCGGCTATTACAAGTTGAAAACACTCAGTATATCTGGGGTTAAATGTTTGTGTATGTTACTCACAGGAAGTCACATGTTTCTCATGTAACCAATGTTCTTTAGATGTAAGAAGCCCGGGAATTTTCTCCCTGATCTAGGAGTTTGATTGGGATGAAAGTGTTTTTGCATTTTATGGCTCCTCTTCCCGTCTTTGTTTG